CACACCTGTCTGATAAAAACAGAAAAATGGTGTTTTTATAGAGCTCAGTTTAAACTGGTGGTCGGTCACAAAACAATGAGACACATAAACAATAAGTTCATTTAAAATAATATAAATAATAATAAATACATGAAATAATGCAAAATTGAATAAAGGAGCAAAAATGTGTTGTTTTTATAAAGTTTTTATTTTGGCGGGCTGAGAAGGAATCACTGCTGATTTCATTTAACAAATAGAACAAATAAATAGAATAAAAGTAAAGTAAATTGTAAAAAAAAATCTAAATGTAAAAATATAAAAAATATTAGGAAGTGACTATTAGAGGTCAGTCTGCACCCTCCAAAATGAAACAAAAAAACAAAAACAACAACGTATTGAATGGATAAAGTCTAATAATTAAATAAACAATAATAAGTAACAACAACAAAAAAGGAAATTTAAAAAAAATAATAATATAAAACTATTAGAATAATAAACTACAATAATAAACGTTAACAAATAGGTAAAATAAAATAACAGCAACAAAAAAGTAGAAGTGACAGCATCAAATATCTCCTAAAAACGAAAGAAAGAAAAAAGAAAACATTAATTTAAAAAAATAAATAAATAAAAAATGACATAATACCAAATAAATACAATAAATAAATAGTAAAAAGATGATCTATATATGTATTGGCAGGGGGCAGCATCAACCACCGACCCCCCAAAATATATTACTCAAGAAAAGAAAATTACTGTTTCTTTGTTGTTCCAGGGAACTATAAAACTGCTGCTTTGGTTCTGAAATTCTTCTAGAATCTGAAATTCAATATAAACAAAAATAAATAAATGACAGTGTGAAAGGAAATATAAAATGTATAGCGACTAATTATCATTAAAAAATGGTTGAAAAGGAGCCCAGTAAATAGAAAAGTGACTTCAGAGACAGTTAAATGTTGTTTTGTTTTGCTGCAGCGACACCTTTAGTCCACATGAGGGCGACGCTGCACCAGAAGGAAACAGGTTCTGGTGAATCAATCAGTGACGTCCTGTCGGATCCTCAGCAACATTTATCAATTTAATGCTCAGTTTAATCAATAAACTTTAGACAAAGAGATTAAAAGACAGGAAGTGAAGCTTCTGATCGTCTGGAGCACAAAGATGATTAACGTCTGCAGCTCCTGAACGTCTCAGAACGGTTTGAACTTCATTTGTTTCTCAAGTTTAAACCTCTAAACCCTGGTCTTGCTGATGAATAATGTAAATTTGTGTTATTTTTTGGATTTTAAAGCCACCAGTCGGCAGGTTTTAGTGGGTTAACGCCATAAAATGTCTTAAAAATCCTGATTTAATTATGAAAAGCCATAAATGTTGACGTGAGACTCACATAAATGAAGGTATTTAGGTAAAAGTCTGTTGTTTTTCAGTCCCAGCATGCTTTACATGGTGTAATTACATAGTTTTGTCTGTTTTAAATGACTAATATTATAATATAGATATGTTATAATAATAATAATAATAATAATAATAATAATAATAATAGTAATAATACGATAATACAAAACAATTAAATACACAAGTCATTGAAAAACAACAATAAAACAGTAAAATAAGACAATAAAACACTTGTAAAGACGGAGTAACTTTAAACAGCATAAGATCTAATTTTAACCAGTGGAGCTTCCAAAATAGTCAAAATATCAACATGTAGACGATGTCTTCCAGCTCCAACATGGATTTGTTTTGACGTTTTGCTCTTTAAAAGATTTAAATTAAGTTTCTAGCGGTTTCTGGATCGATGGTTCTTTTGTTGGATTATTGTTTTATAAATGATTCACGTCATTTTTCTTCTTCCAGGTTTTGTACCGACTGAAGGAGAAGGTCCAGGTTTCTGACAGACAGCTGAAAGCCCCGCCCCCTGACCTCCACCTGACCCCGACCGTCCCTCCTGACTCCGCCCACAAGTTGAAGGGCACCAAGGTGAGCCGCACACCTCGCCTGTCCCCGCCCACACCTGCTCAGACATGTAACACCTGTAAAACGTTGTCGTGTCCTTCAGGTGGTGACGTCAGGAAGCAGCATGGTCCAGGCTGAGCTCCCTCCTGTTGTAGCCACGCCCACTCCCCCGCAGCAGCCAATCGCAGCCTGCCGCCGCCTCGCGCCACCTGCCGTCCCGCTGCCCAGGTGAGTTGACAGCTGGAGTGAGATCCCAGAATGGTTCGGACGAAGCAATTCAATTCAATTCAATTCAATTCAATTCAATTCAATTTTATTTGTATAGCGCATATTTACAACAACAAGTCATCTCATAGCGCTTGGGTGCAGGGTGACGGATGTTGTTAATGATTATGAAATATTGTTTATAAAACATTTAAACAGAGAATTAGCATCAGGAAGTGGAAATATCGTTAAAAGCAGGTTTTAATCGTGTGATTTGGCTGAAAGCTCCAGAACGAGTCGACCTTGAGGAGGTCGTTCATTTAGTCGCGATGTTTCCGATCAGTTTGTACGTTTTCGATCAATAACTTGTTCCATCTTCTCCTCGTAGCCCCGCCCCCGTCACCTTTGTCAGCAGCAGCCCCGCCCACCTGGTCAGCGTTGCCCCGGTGACAGCCAATCACGAGCTGAGGCCCTGCCCCTCCCCCTTCAGGATGAAACCGGCGGCCGGGCTGCAGGAACGGTGAGAAACCAGAACGTTGACACGAATACAGACGATCCGAGTCGCTGAGTTTATTACAAATAGATATTCAGAGAGAAAGAAATAAAAACAAGTGAGAAATTAAAAATTCTACATTTTTCTGAGCATGTTTCCTAAAAACAGCACACTGATGTGAGAATTAGCTGAATTTTTACAGTAATTTATGTGTTTTCTTCAAGTTAATGCCTGAAACTAAACGTAGGCGTCACAAGTTTTCAGCGTTTCAGCATCTTCTTGTTCCGTCCACGTGCTGAAAAAAGGTTTAACAAGACTAACCTGGAAAACGAGTAATTTTTGCATCATGTTGGTGCTTTGAAATCTGCTTTAATTCACATTTTCTTCGAGAGACTCACTGATCGAGCTCAGTTAGACTTTCTTTGGTTGAAACCAGCTCAAAACAGTAGACAAGAAAGATCGCTTTTGTTATAATATAATGTTCTCTAAGAGATAATAAAGTAAAAAATCCGACACCACAAATGAAAAAGCACCGAAGCAGCTGCTGGGCAACAGAAACAGCGTCTGGTTGTTTGATAAGAGCCTCACTAATGAACCTGAGCTGATGAGAACTCAGCATGTTTCAGGAGGAAGACGAGTTCAAACCTCTAACCTGTGATTGTTGAGCGCTCAGGTGTTGGAGTGTGTACGTGATCACGGCGAGGCTTCAACACGTGTTTATTTATAGTCGATGGACAATCAGCTCCATGTTTTCTCTCCACGAGACTCCGAGACAAAACAACAAGAACTTATTTACTCATGAACTCTCTGAACCCTTTGTGCTGCGAAGACCGAAGCATCGGAGGCGTTTGTTTATTACGACAAAAACATCAAAACCTTTTGTCATAAACCAGCTTCGGCTGTTTGCTTGGGCTCATTGTCTGGATGGAAAACAAGTCTTCTCCAAGTCTCAGTTCTCCTGCAGACTGCATCAGGTTCACGTCATGATGCTGCCACCGCCGTGCTTCACGTCATGATGGTGCCACCACCGTGCTTCGTCATGACGCTGCCACCGCCGTGCTTCATCATGACGCTGCCACCACCGTGCTTCACAGTGGGGATCATGTGTATGTCTGGATGTTCAGTGTTTGGTGTCTGTCAATCATAGCGTCTAGTCTGATGGACAAAAAACTCCATTCTGGTCTCCTCAGACCAAAGAACCTACTCCCAAGTGACTTCAGAGTCTCCACATGTCTTCTGATGAACTCTAGTCCAGATCAAATATGTACTTTTTCCCACAGAGTCTTTGTCTCCCATAAAGCTTTGATGGTGAGTTACTCATGCTCCACATTCCTTCCATTTCTTCATGATTACTTTAATTGGACTCTGAGAGATGTTCAGTCGACTCTTCTGCAGAGGAAACCTTTATATCTCCACTCGTCGCGGTGTCGGTTTCCTCCATGAGCAGCGTTTACGGTCCAGATCTGTCAGAGCTGCCGGTGTTTGTATGAAGGGAGGCGTTTCCTCTGTGCCGTGTCACATTAACCCAAATGTTCCTGAGAGCTGCTTCCGTTGGCGGACGTTTCCCATCTCGCTGCAGGTTTCATTTATATAAACTTTATATCCCGTCTGACAGCTCTGGCGTCGCAGTAAATCATCCGGCAGACTCTCATGCGACACGTTCTCTATTATTAGTCTGAGTAGATTCAGACCTACTGTGTTGTAGTTCTAATGTAACGTACAAAGTTTTGTCATGACTTCGGTTTAGCTGCTGTCATCGTACTTCATGAACGTCATAATTATCTTAATTTACATTCAGAGAACTTCCTAGTTCAGACTTTGTAAATGTCATTGTGTTGTTTTATTTTGCTTAGTTTAATAAATTCCCCACTTTTTGTTAATATGGTGTCATCTTGGCATCGTGCATCTTCTCGTCTTGTGAATCTGATGAAATATTTGTTCATTTTGAGTTAATAAACATCATTATGTTTTAGATTTCATTATATTTTTGCTCAGTTTGACTCCATAAATGTTATTTCTTCTTACATTTGACTAAATATCTGTTAATTCTGATTTAAAAGCTTTACATTTTGTCCAATAGGCTCATAATTTTGACCTAATAAATGTCATAGTCTTTTGAATTAGACTAAATATTTACTAATTTTGACAGTACATCTAATAATCTTTCACATTTCACTAAATATCTCATGAATTTCACTTGATAAATTTCTTAAACTTTTTAATATGAGTGAATATTAATAAATTTTGACTTAATAACCCAGATTCTTTTGCTTAGTTTCTGCTAAATATGTATTAATTTTGACGTAACAGCCTCATTAATTAACTTTACATTTTTACATAATAACAAAAAATATTAATTTATATTTGACTAAATATTGACTAATTTTGAGTTGATAAATTTCATTATGTCTTAAATTTCACTACATTTTTCTTCAGTTTGACTTCATAAATGTTATAATTTGACTAAATATCTATTAATTTTAATTCAGTGGATCTCAAGAGCTTTACTTTTTGTCCAATAGACTCACAGTTTTGACTTAATCAACCAAACTTTTTGTTTAGTTTCGGCTAAATATGTATTAATTTTGATGTAACAGCCTCATTAACTTTAACTTTAATTTATATTTGACTAAATATTTACTAGCTTTGATTTAATAATCTCAATAACTTTTAAATTGGACTAAATATTCCTCAATTTTATATCAATAAATCATCAGTTTTTACATTTTTCTTTCACAAATGTCTTAATTTTTAAAATCTAAATATTATTTTAGACTCTTAATTCTTAATTTTGATGCTTTAAAGCTTCATGTGTTAATTAAACCTGATGTCAAATTGTGTATTCAAACATTTTTATTACCTTTGAAACAAAAACCTTGGATTTATTCACTTTATTCCACATTTTGTGCCCCTGTAGTGTTTGTTTTCAGTCCGGACTGTGTTCATCACTTGGGTTTGTTTGCTCTGGTCCGACCTCGTCCATCTTCATCAGACGTGTTGATGGAGTCCAGCGGTTCTTGAGGAGCTTTTTAAAACTTGGCCGCGGCTCGTCGTTTCCCTCTTGGGCCGTTTCGTAACCGAAAAGCAAACATCTTTTATCTTCGGATCGCAGCTTCGGGCCTCCGTGTTGTTCAGGTTACATCAGAGCGCTGAAGTGTTTCTGGAGGTACGAAGAGGAAGGAAGATCTCGGTGCTCGCAGTGAGAACAGGATGTTTTTCTTGGTGTCTGTGTCTGTTCTGTGTGTCTGATTGTGTGAGCGCTGCTCGCTCTGGACCGCGGCCAGTCGGCAATCAGACGGATTGGAAGAACCGGCATCCTGCAGAGGAAACGGCCCGACACGTAGCCGACGAACCGAGTCCACCCTCAGACGACCAGCGGAGCTCGAGTCTGCTGCTCCGAGTGGCTTCTCACTCCTGGAGCAGAAGTTTAGTTCATCTGTCGTTAATAAAGAAATTCTTTCAGTCTGGAGGAATTTTAACGACTTATTTCTGAGTCAAACGAACACTAAAGACGGTTTCTATCCAACAACACTGAGCTTCAAGCAGCAGTTTCTGGCTGTTGTTCCTTCACTGTGGGCTCATCTTACCTCCTACAGTATTTTGTCTCGTTGCTATGCGTCTTCTTTACGTCATGTTTGTCTCTTTGGGACACTTCTGTCTTGTTTTTGGTCATTTTGCGTCTCATTTTTGTCTCATTGTGTCTCCTGTATCCTGCTTCAGAATCAGAATCAGCATGTCTTTATTTTCATTGTATGAGGCAACGAGAGAGAAGGCAGAGGACAGCCGGTGATGTTCTGGGCCGTACTGACGACCCTTTGGAGAACCTTCTCGTCTGCTATTGTGCAGCTGGCAAAGCAAACACACATGCAGTAGCTGAGGATGCTCTCTATGGAGCAGCGACAGAAGGCCACTAGCAGCCTCTGCTGCAGGTTGTTGCTCCTCAGGACCCTCAGCAGGCTCTGCTGGGCCTTCTTCACAGTGGTTGCTGTTTATGCTCCAGGTGGTCAGGTCGTCCTGAATGTGCACACCCAGAGAGCAAACGTCAGAAACCCTCTCCACAGAGGATGAGTAGTGGCTGCATGTCTTCTTTCTGTAGTCCACATTGATCCCTTTTGTTCTGGCTGTGTTGAGGATAAAGTCGTTTTGTTGACACCACACTGACAGACGCTCCACCTCGTACCCCCCAGAGATGAGCTCCACCACAGTGGTGTCATCTGCAAGTTTTATGATGGTGTTACTGTGGTGGAGGGGAGCACAATCATGAGTGTAGACACTGAATAGCAGTGGGCTCAGTACGAGGCCCTGGGGGACGCCGGTGCTTAGGCTGATGGCCGACGCTCTCGTTTGTGTCCTTTTGTTTCTTATTTATATAAATTTGGTCTGTTCGTGGTCGTTTAGTCTCCTTGTCCTGCAGATGTTGAACTATCTCCATGTCTCCAGACTTCTCTTCTCTGCTCATCAGCCGTAGAAAGATGTTCCACCATCAGCTGTAGAAAGATGTTCCACCATCAGCTGTAGAAAGATGTTCCACCATCAGATGTAGAAAGATGTTCCACCATCAGCTGGATGTATCTCCATCAACTGGCTCCTCTGTTCTCTGGTTCTGATCCATGCTGCATTGATTTATTGATCCAGGAGGTTGGAGTTTCCTCTCAGTCTCAGGTTCTTGTCCAACACGTCTCCTTTACTGAGAAGAAGGTGGAAATAAGCATCGTTTCCTGGTTTCTAGAGAAAAAACATGATTCAAACACGACATTTGTGTAGAAAAAAGTCACATTAATTCACCCTGTTTTAATAGGAAATGAATTAGTCTGATCTAATCTGAAATCAAAGCACATCTGAGCTACAGCACAGGTGCACCATGTGAATATGTCAATAACATGTATGTATGTAAACAGGAGCTTTTGTCTTGTTATTGCTCAATATTTATGACTTAATGAATGTATTTGGTCACATGTTGTTGTTATTGCACAGCTCTATAAAACAGTCTCTCTGCCTAAACTGTCAAAACTCTTGAATGTGTTGAGTTTTAACGTCTGTCTGTTACCAGGTGTTCAGTCAGTGATCGGTTCAGTAATTGAGGCGCCACAGGAGTTTAAAATTCTGTTCATAAAGTCCACCGACTCTGCTGGTTTTCAGAGATAACTTTCCAAACCTGAGCCGAGTTTGAGCCGTAAATCTGTGATAGACCGGAGGAAGGAAGAGCAGCTCTGTCCGGCTCTAACAGATTCCCTCTCTCTGTTCTCCCTCCCATCCTTCCTCTGCAGACGAGGCTCCAACGTCTCTCTGGTGCTGGACATGTCGGCCCTGGGCGCCGTGGAGCCCCTCAGCGTCACCGTGGTAACGCCGAGGGAGGCGGCGGCCCGCGAGTACCTGCTGTCGGCGGGTCGGCCGCTGACCCGGCTGCAGCTCCGAGACGTCGTCCAGAACACGCACAAGCTCCACGCCGAGTTCGCCGTAAGTCCACGTGTTCAAACCCAGAACACGCTGAGATCCGGTTTTCATACGACGCCGTGAACACAGGAGCTGCTTCAATCTGGGAGCTTAGTTCCAGAATCTGCTTTAATGTTCACCTGCATGTTCAGAACACTGGTTACCTGGATTAAAGATGTTTCACCAAAACCGTCATAAAGCTGCTGCAGGACTGACGCAATAAAACACAAGTCAGAGTTTGACTGCTTTAACTCTGAATGTTCTACGACGGAACCATGAAAACGTGAATCTTTATCATAAAATACAATCCTGTGTTTTGGTTCTTTCATAGATTTATTAAAGCTCTTCTGGAGA